GACTACCGCGCTGTGCCGCCAAACAGCTGATCGGCACAGCGCGGCAGCCATTTTGATGTAAATGAAGCGGCGATTATTTAAATCGCCGCTTCATTTCCCTTTTTCGAGTACACTAATCTACATGACTCCGTCGAGATGTACCCTGATTCATGGAATACATTCAAGTCTCAGGAAGTGCTGCAAAGGGGTGAAGTTTTGTTTACAGAAGCGCTGTGCCGCCAAACAGCTGATCGGCACAGCGCGGCAGCCATTTTGATGTAAATGAAGCGGCGATTATTTAAATCGCCGCTTCATTTCCCTTTTTCGAGTACACTAATCTACATGACTCCGTCGAGATGTACCCTGATTCATGGAATACATTCAAGTCTCAGGAAGTGCTGCAAAGGGGTGAAGTTTTGTTTACAGAAGAGTGAAAACCCGACACGTCGAGTTCTCATGCCCAACGGGAGCCTCCTTTACAGCAGCATGGGCAAAGAGCAGCGTACAAACCAGGGGCCAGCTCTACAGCCACGGGGAGCACCTGCCACTTCCTGTGGACACCTGTATCTGGCTATCACGTATGACACACTCCACCTACTCTGGCTGTGAGCATCCTCCGCCAGTATCACCGAAATAATAGCCATCCTCCATGTATCTCAGGGGAAGTCGCATGGAGGTGAAGGGAACTTCCCCCCAACCCTCATTTGCATGACCATACCAAAAAAGTTCTCCAATAACCAGAAATGCCTACCAGCTTCCACCTGAAAGTTTAGTGGGTCTACTCCTCACCCCAGGGACGAATCGTTATTAGATCATCTCACACTCCCACTCCTCAAAATAACCTAAGCAGCAGATGACTAACCCTAGGAAATTCTGTTAGACAAACTGTCCTAAGGGATGTTTGTTACACTGCAGTAAGGTGGTAGTTCCCTTTTCAAAGTCACATGTTCCGACACCACTGAAGGCCTTTCATGTTCCTCCCCCATTGACTAAACTCTACTAAGACGATTCCACTTCATGGGACACCAGGTCAGAAATGGAGTTAAGTAAATAAAAGTCCTAGATCCTAAGAACATAAGAACAGACATACTGAGTCAGATCAAAGGTTCACCAACCAGTATCCTGTCTTCCGACAGTGGCAAATGGTACCCCAGAGGGAATGAACAGAACAGGGAAGCATCAACAGATCCCTCCCTTGTCGCCCATTCGCAGCTTCTGACAAACAGAGGTTAAGGAAATCATTCCTGTGCATCTTGACTAATAGCCATTGATGGACCTATCTTACATGATTTTATCTAGCTTTTTTTTTGCACCCTGTTATAATCTTGGCCTTCACAACATCCTCTGGCAAGGAGTTCCACAGGTTGACTGTGTGTTGTGCAAAGAAAAAATTCCTTTTGTTTGTTTTAAACCTGCTACCTATTAACTTAATTTGGAGACTCCTAGTTTTCATGTCACTTGAGACTTGTAAAAGTCGCTTCACGTCATTCTCATCGCACAATTCCTGTCTTTCCACACACCATCCAAAATGGCAGCATGTCTAGGATGTTCCCTACCCCATCACCAGCTCCTGTTGACAGCACCTAACACCTTGGTCTCTGAGCAGGAAGAACCATGGTCTCCCAGTGGGCAGGCATATAGGTCACAAAAGCCCATATCACAACAGCTGCCCTTGAAGGCAAAAAGAGCAACTGTGATCAGACATGGAAACTCAGCTCCCCTCCTCATCCCTAGAGATGAAGTCCCTCCTGCTGGGCAGATATGTATATTGACAGTACCATCCCCATCCACTGCCTTTTGCAGTACCGGTGAATAAGGGCCTTTGGTCTCTCCGGGGCTGTTGATCCCGAGCTATTCACCACATTAAAGCCTCAACATGGGACACAGTGAATTTCAGCAATGAGGATGCGCGTGTAACACAGGGCATGTGTTTTATAACCTCAGTGTCATAATTCTGCCTACCAAAGCAATCAATGGGGAATAACAGCTGGGCTGCCTGGGACCTTGGCCAAGAGGGTGGCTCTAAGTGTGGCAGACAGTTCTACCTTTCCAAAAGGTAGTTTGTCCAGTTGGGCAAGGAAGCTATTTGGGGAACATGGGGGGGAAGGTGCTTGGGAGAACAGAGGAAGGAAGTCAGAAGCAGTTATGCCCCCAAGCAGCAGCACAGAGAGGATAAGAGAGCTGGGGAGTGGGTGAGAGACTGTATCAGGCAGAGTGGGGAGGTTACCAAGATCTGCTTTGGTGTGATGGAATTGTCTGTGTAAATGCAGAGTTTCTCCACAGTCAGGGGCATGGTCTCTCGCAACTTGGAAGCCAGGAGCATGCAGACGGCCCCCAGGAGCTGCAAGTGATTTTTTCGAGTATGAACTGAAGACAGGTAGCGATCCACGTAGTTCATAGCCAAGGGGAAGACCTCCTCTTCACACTTCTGCTCCTCACACACCTGGCAGAACCCAACAGAGGAAAGGAAGGGTTTTAAAGGCAGCCCCAGCCTGCACCAGGACTTCAAAACTACTAGTTGCCATAGTTTCTGGCACGTGTGGAGCCTTTTGTCTGGTGCTCTCAAAGCCCTTTTAGGTTTAAGAGACAAATTCTCCATTGGTATAACTCCAGCCCACCACCCGCAGGGAATTTGATGCAATGTGCTACAGTTCACCTCCCTTTCCTCTGGGAAGTAGGGAAAATAGAGAGGTTAGAGACCAAAATCTTCTAGAGGGCCCACTGATTTAGGTCTTAATTACCAGATGTGCCAATCACTTTCTGCTCTCCTTAAATGGGGGTGCTCAGCACCTCTGAAAAAAAACAACCCAGTCCCAATGTAGCTTCAGCTGGCCCAAAAAAGGAGGCACCAAGAATCAGTTGCCACTTTTGGAAACTCTGGGCTAAGTGACTTGCCCAATGTCACAAAAAGAGTCACTGGCAGAGCCCAGGATAGCAACTGCATTCAAACTCCTGGCTCCCCTTCTCTGTCTATGGCACATTCATGAGAGGCACAAACAGAACCCAGGAGTCTGCAGGTCAACCCCTTCTATACATGCCACTAGGCTTTTAATGAACAGCCATATTTCCTTGTTTTAACAGAAAAATATTGAATTTTCCCCTTGTGCTATAGCAACTGGCATCCTTCTCTTTCACCCTGTAACTTTGCCTCCCAATGTCCTCTCTACCCACATAAAACCGCATGCCAGAGACTTTTTCCTTTTAAAAAAAATAGACTCACTTCTCATTTCAGATTTAAGTTTAGCTGCATTCCCTCTCACCCTCATTCAAAATAAAAAATGAAAAATTAGCATTTAGAACTAAATCCTGCTGCCTCTGAAGTCAATGCAAGTTGTACCACTGACTTCAATAGGACCTACGTTTAGGCTTACTAATGCAAATCCTATTAAATTGGGAAATCCCAAAGATACCGCCTCCAACTTTACTATGGGCTCCTTCCACTTTACTGAGGTCCCTGCTTTGCAGGATCAGGCCTCAACACACCTTTTAGCCAAGTAACTCTCTCAGAAAGTGCACTTAAGAAAAAGGATAATTAAAAAAGTTGGAATCGGCATGTGATTAAAAAAAAACCCAGGCAGTATGTCACAACAGCCAGTGAAGTGGAAAGAGCCTCAGACTGAATTCAATCCAGATTCTATTTCTTCCTCGTGTAATCTCATTTTCCTCCCAATCTAGGCTATTCAGGGCTTGATCATTTATGAAAAGCGAGAGACATCTGGGATATGTTCCTCCTTGAGTTGTTCAGTGCGCAGGATTGCATTCCTTTTAATTTAGCGGCGTGGGAGGCTGGGATCTTTCTGCCCAGGCTTTCT